GCTAGAAAGAAAGCCCTGTAGATGCTGATCAAGAATATATATGATTTATAGGGTCGGAAATGACTCCTTCACTTTCTTTTAAGCTTCTGACTGAAGGCCCATTACCATTTTTGTACCGATATTAACAATATTTTTATTTGAAATTTTTCGACAAATCAAATTTTAAAAATCTCATAACTAAGCCAAAAACGCATTAATTTCAATTCGGAAAGCGGCAGTATGCTAATTTTTAGCAGGTTAATAAAACTGCATACTCCATTTAAAACGTGAATTTTTGCCGATTTTTGCAGATTTTCATGATGTAACCCCTTTCCTTTTTTCCGAAAAATGGGAAATTTCGGAAAAATTTTTTTTCGGCCGGATAAAGCTAGAAAGAAAGCCCTGTAGATGCTGATCAAGAATATATATGATTTATAGGGTCGGAAATGACTCCTTCACTTTCTTTTAAGCTTCTGACTGAAGGCCCATTACCATTTTTGTACCGATATTAACAATATTTTTATTTGAAATTTTTCGACAAATCAAATTTTAAAAATCTCATAACTAAGCCAAAAACGCATTAATTTCAATTCGGAAAGCGGCAGTATGCTAATTTTTAGCAGGTTAATAAAACTGCATACTCATTTAAAAGTGATTTTTGCCCGATTTTTGCAGATTTTCATGATGTAACCCCTTTCCTTTTTTCCGAAAATGGAATTTCGGAAAATTTTTTTCGATAAGCTAGAATAAAGCTAGAAAGCCCTGTAGATGCTGATCAAGAATATATATGATTTATAGGGTCGGAAATGACTCCTTCACTTTCTTTTAAGCTTCTGACTGAAGGCCCATTACCATTTTTGTACCGATATTAACAATATTTTTATTTGAAATTTTTCGACAAATCAAATTTTTAAAAATCTCATAACTAAGCCAAAAACGCATTAATTTCAATTCGGAAAGCGGCAGTATGCTAATTTTTAGCAGGTTAATAAAACTGCATACTCCATTTAAAACGTGAATTTTTGCCCGATTTTTGCAGATTTTCATGATGTAACCCCTTTCCTTTTTTTCCGAAAAATGGGAAATTTCTGAAATTTTTTTTTTCGGCCGGATAAAGCTAGAAAGAAAGCCCTGTAGATGCTGATCAAGAATATATATGATTTATAGGGTCGGAAATGACTCCTTCACTTTCTTTTAAGCTTCTGACTGAAGGCCCATTACCATTTTTGTACCGATATTAACAATATTTTTATTTGAAATTTTTCGACAAATCAAATTTTAAAAATCTCATAACTAAGCCAAAAACGCATTAATTTCAATTCGGAAAGCGGCAGTATGCTAATTTTTAGCAGGTTAATAAAACTGCATACTCCATTTAAAACGTGAATTTTTGCCCGATTTTTGCAGATTTTCATGATGTAACCCCTTTCCTTTTTTCCGAAAAATGGGAAATTTCTGAAAATTTTTTTTTTCGGCCGGATAAAGCTAGAAAGAAAGCCCTGTAGATGCTGATCAAGAATATATATGATTTATAGGGTCGGAAATGACTCCTTCACTTTCTTTTAAGCTTCTGACTGAAGGCCCATTACCATTTTTGTACCGATATTAACAATATTTTTATTTGAAATTTTTCGACAAATCAAATTTTAAAAATCTCATAACTAAGCCAAAAACGCATTAATTTCAATTCGGAAAGCGGCAGTATGCTAATTTTTAGCAGGTTAATAAAACTGCATACTCCATTTAAAACGGGTATTTTTTGCCGATTTTTGCAATTTTTCATTCAAAACCCCTTTCCTTTTTTCCGAAAAATGGGAAATTTCTGAAAAATTTTTTTTTCGGCCGGATAAAGCTAGAAAGAAAGCCCTGTAGATGCTGATCAAGAATATATATGATTTATAGGGTCGGAAATGACTCCTTCACTTTCTTTTAAGCTTCTGACTGAAGGCCCATTACCATTTTTGTACCGATATTAACAATATTGCAAATTTTCATGATGTAACCCCTTTCCTTTTTTCCGAAAAATGGGAAATTTCTGAACATTTTTTTTTTCGGCCGGATAAAGCTAGAAAGAAAGCCCTGTAGATCAAGATCAAGAATATATATAATTTTAGGGTCGGAAATGACTCCTTTACTGTATTACAAGCTTCTGACTAAATTATAATTATTCATAAGATATTTAATTCTGTACAAAACTCATGTGAATCTTCTTCTATCCTTTCCAGATCACAGCTGTCCTGGCTAGCTCCGAGCTCGCCAATGCCTTCTGGTGGCCCAAGACAACGACGTAAGTGTTAGAATCAGACAGGTTCGGAATCCAGCAATAAACTCTATCTGTTATTCCATAGGAATCCCCCGGCGGTGGCCAAGTGCTACAACAGATCCCGCTCACCTACTTCCGCACCTACACATACCAGCCTCTGGCGCCCGGCGGTCCCTTCAGCCTCTTTCTTTGGCTTTGGATCAGGAGGAGGAGGACCAGGAGCAGGACCAGGAACCAGACCAGCAGGAAGATGGTGCCACTAAGACCGAACCGGAACCGCTGGAGACGACCTCAGACAGTCCTGTCTAGGGGCTTCAATCAAATTAGCAGTCCAAGTCACAGCCACAGCCTCTATAGTATTAAGACACACGCCTCCTCGACTGATTTTTGTCACCCTTTTTTCTCTTATTTATTAAAAGCGAAAATAAATAAAGAACCTTGAAAAATTTTTTTTTTTGTTTTCATGGGGATGGGGGGCTGGGAAGGTTCTGGGTCATACATTATTTGAAGAACTAAAAGAACGGAAAATTTGAATTTGTCGATCAGTTGCCGCCAAATCAATAAATTTCGATGACGATAACGCTGCTATTTATGATATGGTCTCACCCATTTCAAAAATGAGCTGATGTTGGGCTTGCAGTGCATTATTATTTCAGTTAGAAGTTAAAAATTGTAAAAATTAAAAAAAAAAAATTTGAGTATGCAGATTGATTAACCTAATAAAAACTAACATAGAACCGTTTTCCGAATTCAAATTAATGCATTTTTGGCTGAGTTATGAGCTATTTAAATTTGAGATGTACAGTGTTGTTGTTGTCGTCGTTTTTGTTGTTGTCATCGTTTTTGTTTTTGTTGTTGTTTGTTGTTGTTGTTGTTGTTGTTGTTGTAATGTGGGTTGTTGTTGTTGTTGTACATACTGTGTAAAACGTGCGGGTGTGTGTTCCCAAGCCAAGCCTTCGATGTGCTCGGTTTCGCTTAAAATTCAACCTGAAATACCAGGCGAACAGAAGGCAGCAGCAAGCAAATTTAATTTTCTGCAAAATCATTTATCACCCTAAAAGCATGCTACACCGTGCCCCAAAAGCATGCAATGCCAAAAATATGCAAAACTAAGCAATCGAAAAAATGTGTAGCATACTTCTAGGGTGCAGTGTAGCATGCTTTTAGGGTGAAAAATGAATTTGCAAAAAATTAAATTTGCTTGCTGCTGATTTCTGTTCGCCTGGTATTTCAGGCCGAAAATTAAGTGACACCGAGCACATCGAAGGCTTGGCTTGGCAACACACAACCGCACGATTTCACAGTGTGTACAACACACAACCGCACGTTTTACACAGTATGTACAACAACAACAACAACCCGCATTACAACAACAACAACAACAACAACAACAACAACTACAACAACAACAACAACAAAACAACAACAACAAAAACAACAACAACAAAAACGACGACAAAAACAACACTGTACAACTCAAAATTTAAATAGCTCATAACTCAGCCAAAAATGCATTAATTTGAATTCGGAAAACGGTTCTATGTTAGTTTTTATTAGGTTAATCAACCTGCATACTCAATTTTTTTTTTTAATTTTAACAATTTTAACTTCTAACTGAAATAATAATGCACTGCAAGCTTTCCGTTGACCATCTAGAGATATTTACATAATTACTTATCCTCTCTAGTCCATACATCCATCGCGTGATGACGTCCATCCGAGGACCTCGAATGAATGCCGCTTTTTGGAAACACTTCCACATTGATTTCACTTTCTTTATTTATTCATATTCGTATGTTCCATCAATTACATTTACACATATAAATTGTATTTATAAATATTCTAATACTTTGCGCCTGCTGCACGATTTCAACTATCCCCGAGCCAAGTTCCGACCTCCGTCACTGCCATCGTCTTGAGCTCCGCCGTCTCAGCTGCTCGCTCCTCTAGCTTCACTTCTGCCGATCCGATCATCAATCAACAATTACAATTACATTTACTTAAAAAAAATGTCTCTTACATGCTACCAAGATCGTACTGATCGTATCTAGTGCTAGAGTCCGCTGCGCATGCGCTCCAAAAACCATCTCTCCTCCTGCCTTATCTCTCGCTTTGTGTGTGTGTAACAATTGCTTAAGTTTGTTTGTTTGTTTATCATTTTTATTTTTTTTATTTTACATTTATCTTTTTTTTTGCTACAAGATATGATTTTGTGTTTTCTTTTCTCGTTTGCATACTGCTTGTATACCTTCGTTTCCCTTGAACTCTCTATTTCCTTGGGGTTTTCTTCGTTGAGCCCACCGATTCCATCGGCTGCTGTCTCGTTTATCGCTATCGTTATTCTTATCTGCCTCTAGATTTACTAGTTTTCTCACGCAAAAAAAATATATATATGTATAGATTATTAATAATAATAAACATACGCGAGTCGTCCTTTTTGTTCTTTAAATATAATGAGATTGCGAGGCGTGGCAGGTCACACACACATGCCATAAATAAATACTAAAATTACACACAAAATATAGAAGAGAGCAGTCAGAAAAAACACACAGAGTAAAAAAAAAAAACATGCTAAAAACTATAAACTAAATGCTCGCAAATCTCAGATCTCTCGTAACTAACTAGTAACTAAAACTAAACGTAAATGTCTGAATATATATATATAAATATATATATATATATATATAGTAATATTTATATGTTATATCCCTGTAGCAGCACATCGTCGGAGAGCTGGAGGGGCTGATGAGTCCTTACTGATATGTGAGAGCAAAGCGGTGCTCCCTCCTGCTCCTGCTCCTGCTCCTGCTCCTAATCCTCATCTTCATCATCCCCATCCTCGCCAGCCGCCTCCAGCTCCTTCTCCCAATCCGGTTCGTCCCTGTTCCATTTAATCCTTCCTGCCTTCTACACAAAGGTCTCCCGGATGACGGTACCGCTGCTACTGGTGCTTAGATCTTAGAACTCAGTTGATTGTCAGACGAACGATGAGAAGCCGGGCAGCGGTGCCCTCGATCTGGCCATATTATTGACGATAATTTGGCCACCATTGCTGTAGCTGTAGCTGGAATAATTCCTCACCGGCTTGGTTTTCTTCCACGACTGCCGCAGCGAGTCATTCACGTTGGCGTAGTGATTCACAAATGAATGTGGGTCGCTGCGCACGCTCCCGTTCTCGCTTTCCGAGTGCTGCAAAGAAAATGGAAATGAGTGAAGGCAACAACGCACATATGCCAGAAACACACTCGTAATGGCAAATATATTGGGGGATCATTATTTATACTTATACCGCCAGGGAGACCATGAACCAGGTCTGTCGGTAGAAGGGCTTGTGCTGCAGGTAACCATATTCCAGGTGCAGTTTCGAGGGCGTCAGAATGGAGTCCTTGGAGTACACTGGAAACGAGATGCCGTATCGGAACGTGTACGCTGTGGAGGGCATCAGGATATGGTAGCTGACCGTAAAGTCCTGCATCATTCCCTTCTTTGTTTGCTCGCTTTTTGTCCAACGGGAGTCGTCTGTGATAAGGGGGAAAAGGAATATATTTAGTTAGGTTTCTGTTGAGAGAATAGGTAAATAAGTAAATGCTCTATGTAAAGGGTTATTGAAAGAGCGCTAAGCGACAGAATCAACAAAGTACCTCTCTATAAAAGGTTATGAAAGGAGAGTGAGAGTCATACTTATACTGAATATCTCTTTATAAAAGTTTGATTAAAAATAAGTTAGAGGGTTATAACTCAACTGAGAAACACAAATATTGTTCAAAACGAAGGAAAACAAAATGTTTAGTTCATAATTCAAAGTAAAGATCACTACAAAGGAAGTTATACGGAACAGAAAAGACAACTAACATTAGGAAATTAAAAATTTGCATACTCTTGCATAAAAATTCATCATAACTCAGTCAAAAATGCATTAATTTCACTACAGAAAGCTTTCCTATGTTAGTTTTCTATAGGTTAATAAATCTGCATACTCAGTTTAAAATGTTAAAAAATTTAATTTTTTTAATCAAATTTTGACAATTTTTTTTTTTATTTCTGCCGGAGATAGCCAGAAAGATTTGCCTGTTGATGCTGATCAAGAATATAAGTATTTAAGCTTCTGACTGAAGGCCCATTACCATTTTTGAACCGATATTAACAATATTTTTATTTGAAATTTTTCGACAAATCAAATTTTAAAAATCTCATAACTAAGCCAAAAATGCATTAATTTCAATTCGGAAAGCGGAAAGCGGAAGCGGAAAGCATACTCCGTTTAAAATGTTAATTTTGGCCGATTTTTGCAAAATTCATGATGTAACCCCTTTATTTCAATATAATGCAATTTAAACCAAAATTGGACATAGAAAGGTAACTCCTTGGTTTTGGAAATGTTTCGATCTCAGTATCCCATGTGAGACTAATCATTGACTTGATTACAAAGTAACTGCTTGACGTGAAATGTTTCACACAGTTCGAAATTAGCAGGATCTAAAATTATTCAAAAATTATTTACTTTTGTTCAGTGTCGCTTGAGATGGGCCAGAACCAAGGTAAGAGCCACGTTCTTTTTTGATTGACATTCTCCGATTGACTGACCGCAACACACAGCACTTCTTGGTCTTGCTCGTTTTGGGCCACAAAAGAATATTCAAATGCATCGAAATCTTGATGCAGTTTAAACTTATCCAGATAGCAAATCTCCCAATCCACAAATGAATATTGAAATGGATCGAAATCTTAATGCAGTTCAACTTGTTCAGATGGTAATTGAAACCAAAATCGGAAACAGAAAGGCAATTCCTTGGCCTAGGAAATGAAATGTTACCATCGTAGGAGACCATGTGACTCTAATCATTTACTTTATTACAAAGTTACTGCTTGACGTATTATTTTCCCCTCAATTTGAAATTGGATCTACTTATATTCAAAAACTGATTACTCTTGTTCAGGGTCGCTTGAGCTGGGTCTGAGCCAGCGCAAGAGCCACGGTCTGCTGGATTTATTTTCTCCAAAGATCGTGTTTGGGATCGCTTCTTAGCCTGGCTCTTTTTTGTCGGTTTCATTTTTCGCAACGTACGAAAAAGTTTCCCAGGGCTCGGGTGCCCCAAAGGAGCATTAAAATGCCCGTGAAACGTTATCTACGTCCTGATGTCCAAGTGTCCAAGTTGAATACACGTCGCCGAAAGGGTTTCCAATTGTGGAAATCCAAATGGTGCAAATGATTCCGATTCTCGCCAGCCTCCAATGAATGTACAAGTGGATCGGATTCTTGATGCAGCTCAAACTTCAAATTCAAATGGATCGGTGTCTTCAAACTTGTCCATCTCCGGCTGTCCAAACGAATGTGATGCAGCAGCAAGATGTCCCAATTGATGGTCCACTTTACATGCCTCTTCGTGTACTGAAGGAAGTCCAAATTGCCTTGAGCTCTGGGCCTACTCAAAATTGTCCAGATAATTAAGCCCGAAGGACCTTGGTGCAGCAGCAAGTTAACAGGTTAGACCCAGTACCCAGTTATTGAAGCCGTGAGCCAGATCAACAAAACACATTGTCCCTGCCTTAAGCCCAGAATCAAGTAAGTTCGTAATGTTGGTAAGTTCATTTTTAGCAGGTTGATAAAACTGCATATTCTGTTTAATGTCTGCTTTGATTAACATCCTCCATTGAATGCGTTCCAGAACGCTTCTTGACCTTGCCCTTTTTGGTCGGTTGTATTTTTTCCCCACTTAAGTCCTGGTATTTGTTTTAAAACCGCCCTTTTCTTGGTCTTTCTTTTAGCCTTGGATTTGTCTTATTGGACGAACTTTCCGTTCCCGAGTGGCTGGAATGCTGGTTATTACGGCGCATTAGGAACCGACTTGATTCTACGCTTACGGCCGGTGACACCACGTTTTGTGGTTCTGGCTCCCTGCTTCAAAAACTGGATACTGGGTCCACCTGTTACCTGTCCCACCTGCTGCTGCACCAAGTTCCTTCGGACATAAATATCTGGATCACTTTGAGCATGCCTCAAGCCAATTTGAGCTTCCTTTGGTATACGTCGAGGCCTGTAAAATGGCTCTTCAATAGGGACAACTTTCTGCGGGATCACATTCGTTGGTACAGGGGAAGATGGACAAGTTTGAGATGCATCAACACTCTGATCCATTTGAATATTCAGTAGTGGATTGCGATCGGGACACCGATCCATTTGAATATTCAGTTGTGGGTTGCGATCTGGACAAGTTCGAGCTACATCAGGACACCGACCCACTTCTACATCCATTTGGCGAGAATTGTGATCATTTGTAACATTTGGATTTGCCACAACTGGTAACCCTTCGGTGACGTAGATTCAACTTTGCCACTTGCACCTCTGGACGTGGATAACGTGATACGGGCATTATAATGTTCCTTTGTGGCACCCGGAAATTGGAATTGGGCTAGGAATTTTTTGGTACGTTAGGAAAATTTAAACCCACCAAAAAGAGCCAGGTCAAGAAGCGCTCTGAAACGCGATCTTTGGAGAATATAAATCAAAGCAGGCCGTGGCTCTTAGCTGGTTCTGGCGCAGCTCAAGCGACTCTGAACAAGAGTAATCCATTTTTGTACATGTTTAGATCCAGCTTATTTCAATTATTATACGTCAAGGAATAACTTTGTAATAAATTAATAATTAGTTTCACATTACCATTATCTCTGGCCGAACAGGAGAAGGAGAAAATTTATGTCAGAAGAAGGTATTGCGGCATCCGGCAGCCATTTTGCTTTCCACCTATACCACGGCAATTAAAATTTAAAGCCGGAAGTTTATTAAGGCAACAATGGGAACTCCGGGACTTCAACCTCCGGTGTGTCGGTTAAAAAAACATCTGAACAGAACATGTTTTCGCCGGGCATTGTGCGCGGTAATGTTTATGTTCGTAAATAAATCCCAGCAAAACGTACATAGTATAAATACAATTAACAACGCAATTATAAGAAAGCGGCAAGAACCGCTTGGCGGAGTTTGGAACCAGTGATGACGTGATTCATTGTCTCGATTCTAGCTTAGACTTAACCATATTTAATCGATATTTTCTATTCGAAACATCGAGTCCGAGCTTATCGAATAACTCTAATCAATTTTTTGAATACGATCGAAGCTTGTCGATTAACTTTAACTGATATTTTGTATAGGATACATCGAAGACCAGCTTATCGATTAACTCATTTGGCGGTAACTGCTAGTCTTTTTAAATTCTAATTCAAGTTTGGCCGGAGGGAGGGAGGGAGTGGAGGGATTTGTTTTATCTTATATAAAATTTGTTATTAAATAACTAAGTATTATTAGAGATGGTAACACAGAAACTATCGCACGTATATATCGATAGTGATATCAATCCGGCACGATTTAAGAAGTGCAGTCACGACATATGGCAGCCCTGCTAGCTTGAAACCAGAAACTCTGGCACGGCTAGCTTAAGACTCGAAAGTCTGGCAACACTGGACGCGGATGCACCAGGGCCATAAACATCAAATAAAACATAAACAAACGCAAAAACGACGCAATGGGCTTTCCGCGCATCCTCAGCAAAAACAATAAAATCTACACGAAGCTGGGCGAGTTCTGTCTGTCGGGCGACAGCTTCTGGATAGTGTGCCACACGTGCCAGGAGGAGCTCCAAACGCAGGATCAGTTCTGGAAGCACATCCAGGACGAGCACAACTTTCTGCATGGCGTTGCCAAGGTGAGCACTGGCCCAAGTGTCCGAATAACCCAATACTAATGGCTGCGCTTGTCCTTGCAGCAAGACCACAGCAGAACCTCCAGCTACTGCCTTACCGATGTGGAGGCGGCAGCGGGAGCGGCCACGCCAGGCGGCAGCGGTTCCCAGGGTGCGGGCAGTGTTACGGCGGTCACAGTGCCACTGGCTTTGTACCATTGCTCGACCAAATACTCCGAGGAGGAGCAGCGCGAGGTTGAGTTGCATGAGGCGCAACAACAGCAGCAGCAACAACAGCAGCAGCAGCAGGTTCAAGTACAGCAGCAGGTTCAGCAGCAACATCAAGCCCAACAACAGCAACAGCAGCAGCAACAACACCAACAGCAACAGCAGGCGCACCAGCAACAGCTCCAGCAGCAGCAGCAGCAGCAGCAGCAAAGGGATGTGGCCAAGGAGCTGGCCGAGCTGCATGCCAATGCAGTAGCCGCTGCCACCGCTGCTGCAGCAGCCATTGGCGGTGGCGAGGGCAGCACACGCAGCAGCATTGACATTAAAATCGAACCCAGCCAACTTACAATGACGCCAGAGATGCAGGCCGCGGCGGCAGCGGCAGCAGCGGGCACCATCTACCATCTGCCGCAACTAGTGCCGGCTCCAGTTGTTCCGCCGCCGCCGCCCACGCCTGGCTTTGTGAGTGTCAGCGCCAGCACCAGCACCTCCAACACGGTCAGCACCACGCCGCCAAATGTGACGGCTGTACTTCAGCAGCAGCAGCAGCAGCAACAGCAACAACAGACCGGAGCGGGACTCACCAATCTCAGCCTCAGCGTGACGCCGTCGACTGCCATGGCCGCCGCAATGCTGGCCGCCAGTCAGGAGCTGCCCAAAGACTCGAACAGCACGACGGCGAGTGCCGGCAGCGCTGTGTCCTCGGACGATGGCGAGCGCTGGTACGTCTGCGACTTTGAAACGTGCGGGCTCAAGTTCAAGTACAAGTCACGGATGGAGCTGCATCGCGTGGTGCACAGCAAGGAGCGGCGCTTCAATTGTGAGCTGTGCAGCGCCTCCTTTAAGCAGTCCTGCAACCTGTCCACGCACCGGAAAAAGAAGCATGCGCTGCGAGGCGTCAAGAACGATATACTGCCGCAGCGCTTCTAGGCCGTAGATCGTAGTTAACCAGGTCCTGCTCCTGCTCCCTCCCTGTCACTCGTTTAGCCAGATTCTGGACTGCAGCTTGTAAACCTTAATCCCTGATCCCAGGCTCCTCAAGTTCTAACTTAGTTTAACTACCTTATTTTAGAGTTTAAACCGGAGACTACCTCTGCTGGCCAAAAGATTGTTTTTTATATTTTATAGCTGGCAAGACTCCCCTTTGAAGGCTTCTTCCTGTGAAGGTTTTATCTCTGCTTAAAATTGTAAAGGTTTCCCTATGCTTTGTCCAGCTATGGCAATCCTTTGGCCAGCAGGACGACCTACGGTTTTATATATATATATATACATATATATATGAATAATTATATCTAATTTAGATATAGTTCCCCCTTGTAAATGTAATGCGAATGCCCGAGCGAGGTTATGTTAACCTTCCTCCCATTAACGTTTAATTGCGCCCTAGATGTATGTACATGCAATCTTGTATATAGTGGCTAAGATAATACGAACTAGCTCGATATCGTTGTGGACATCGAGGTTAGCAGTCAGTTGGTTCCGTGTTACGTTAGTTACTCCCACTTTTGCCTAGTAACTGCGACCAGTGCGCAACAGTGTATTTACCATTAGATCAATCAATCAATCAAACGCCGGCAAGCTAAACGGCAAGGCAACAAGCAACAGCCGAAACACACAACAACCAACAAAGCGAACAAGAAAATACATCAAAAATACATTTAATAATTGTTTAAACTATAAATGGCATGGACTTTTCTCTTTGGGGGTTTGGTTTTGGTGGCTTCGACTGGCTTTTATCACCTTGCAGTGTGTCAATCAAGGGATTTTATCGTTATTTTCTTTTCAGGAACTGTACATGGACGGTGGCAGGACCACTCATAAATCCCAAATGGAAAACCCTTGCTCTACAGGAAGAATACCTTAGACTTTACCCATTATTTTTAATTTCTATCATTTAAACCGAAAAAATAGTGCTTTTCATACATAAATAATTTAAAATATTGTAAATTTTTATAACAAAAAATTACAATTACAACAATATTATTTTTATTCAAAGCAAAATAATAACAACTTTAACCAATCATATTTTGACTAAGGTCAACCCTAATTAGCCAAGTTTCCTTTCAAAATTCCGAAAAATTCAATAGGTGGCGCAGGCAAGTTTGTGTTCCTTTGTAATAAGGGAAATATTTTTCCCGCAGGAGGCTCTTAGCGGTTGCACAAAAATTCCCTTATAACGAAGGAAACACAAACTTATTAGCTCCACCTATTGAATTTCCTTTCAGTTATTTTATGACTCTTATAACTTATTATAAGTCTACCTCGTTGTTCGAAAACTTGTATAATTATTGTGTTATACTCTTATAAATCATTTATACATATTTGTTTTCTTTATTATAATTATTTATTCGGCTGGTTTATTAATTTAATTTACTTTATTTGAATTTAATTAAAATTATTTACAATTGAATCATGGTGTCAAATTGAAAAGCATATATAACTCAGCCAAAAGAATATTTATTTCACTTTAGAGACCTTCCCTGCGTTATTTTTTATCTAAGTGATTTTCTAAATTTAATTATTGAAAAATTTAAGATGTAGGTCCTCATTTATTTAGAATTAATAAATTTATTAACATTATCATTTAGGTTGCGGACCTAGAAAAAACCGTTATTTTTTTATCCGCTAACTGTGAGTTGAGGCAAAGTACAGGTCGGAACCCAAACAGTCATTCGGAGTCAGTGGCGCCCTCAACCAACTACACAGATCCTGTTTTACAACCCAGTGTTGGATAGGGGAACCGCAAAGGATTCAAATCCTTAAATTGACAATAAATAAACTACAAACGAAATGTACTTAAAAATGTCACAAAAGTTTAATTTTAAATAAACCTAATAATGTAATCAAATCAAATTCATACTTTGCCAGTATACAACTCATATTCACTGTTCGTTTTAAAGGTATTCACTTGTATATTTGCCTTTTAGAATCGGAAATGTATCACCTAGTGACTTGTACCTGTTGCAGGGCTTTCTCTTCAGGGATAACTACTCTTTCCAGGGGGGTAGAAATTAATTAAGCCCAGAAAAAAAGAAAAATCTCCATGGAAGTGCAAGCTATTGACATTTCTAAAGGCAATCAAACTGGAAGCCTGGGAGCAGGGTAAAAGTGCAAACTTTCCTGTTACGATTCCCTTCTCCTGGGACAAAAGTCTCGCCCTCACAAAAATAGCTGGTAAAGTTTACCCAGATATTCGCAAATATTTCATATACATAGCTTGTGTCGCAAAAGGCAAAATACTCGCAATGCCTTAACGAGAATTTTCCGGCAGCAGCAGAGATTTGAAAGTTTCCGGAATATTCCAGTTCAGAAATGGCAACGTTATATATAGTACATATATGTAGGTCTAGGTGTCTCGGTGATAAATATGTGTACTTACATATATATCAGGTGTTGATGTCCAAGATTTCCACCAACTTTATGTGAATATGAAAATAAAAAAATAAAAATATATGTATAAGTCATATATCATAACAGATTATATTTTAATGGGTATATTTATTTATATTTATATTTAATAAATAAGCAGAGTTATATATAAATTAAATTATTAATTTATTTAAAAATTTTTATTTAATGATTTAATTTCCACGCTTAATAATATATATTTTTAAGAACTTTTACACTGAGAGTTAGAGTATTTCCCCTTCGATCTTCTTACTCTTTCTGTAGCTTCAACTCCATCTTCATTTTACTCTCTCCGTTTACCATTAAATCTGCAATAAACATCGTGCCAGGCGATTTTTCCTTTCGTTTTTATTGTTACTCCTGTTGTTTTTATACCTTTGCAGGGTATTATAATTTTAGTCAGAAGCTGGTAACGCTGTGAAGGGGTACATATAAATCATATATGTATATTCTTGATTATGCATTATTCTATTCATAAAAGAGAGAAACTAACTCTTGTCAGTTCTTTTTAAAATTATAAGGGGTTACATCGTTAAAATTTACAAAAATGGATCAAAATTTTGAATTTTTTACATTTTAATATGCAGAGTATGCAGATTTATTAACCTAATAAAAGCTAGCACAGAACAGCTTTCCGAATTAAAATTAATGAATTTTTGGATTACCTATGAGTTCTTAATAATTTGTATTTGTCAACAAAAATTGTCATATTAAAATATGGATAAATAAATTGTGATGATCGATCCTATAATTCCTTTGCATACTGAAAGGGTATATTAGCTTCGGTTTCCCAAATTTGGTTCCCCGTCTTGTTTTATTGTCCTTTCTTCTTGGTAAAAGCCGATTGAAGAACAAGAGAGTGGGAGTGTCAAAATGAGAGCCAGGCCCTAAAACAGGGGGGAGAGAGTGGGAGAGGGGCGTAATGAAGCGGAAATTGAAATTCGTGTGCCAAACGAATGTAGCTCTCTAGAATTTTGAAAGGTTTTTTGTGTCGATACACCTCAGCCTTTGCTTTTGTATGCACAATCACACACACACACACGCACTGAGAGACTATTCAATGGCTGACACCATGATGCAACTTAAGAAGGTGGTCGCCATTCACTTTTGTTGAGGCTATTAAATATTTTTAGCTCCATCTCTCTCTCTCTCTCTCTCTCTCTCTCCACTCTCAGAGAGACAAAAGGTTGGTAATCAAGAGAGAGTGCATTCCTTGCAATGGAAACCACCTTGTTCAATTACACCATGACTTACACATTATGTTCACCGACTTTTGTCACTCCTTCCTCTCCCCGCAAAAGGGAGTGCAGGTGCAGAGTGGCGGCGATGGAGAGAGCAGGGGGAGGGAGGTGGAGCTTCAACTGTTGCTCTGTTTCTTCGCTTTTAAAATTTCATAGCATACATTTCAGCGATAAATGAAGTCGAAAAAGTACGGTGGAAGCGATGGAAACTCAAGGACTTATGTCGTTTTTCATTTAAAAGTAAAATAAATTTAAGATGCAAGTAAACTGGTTTGTTTGTTTTATACTTTAACCTTTATTTTGAGAATATTTATTGGTCTGTAAAGTGGCAGTAATTTATACAACTTTAACATGGCTATATTTATAAGAAGTTATTTATAGTTTTGGGTATACCAAAATTAAAATTTATATAATCCCTATGGTTGTATATATATATATTTGTTGATTATTATTATTTTATTATATTAATATGCAGGGAGAGTATTATTATGTCAATCTGATGCTTGTAATGCGATGAAGGAATCATTTCCGACCCTGTAAATCATATATATTCTTGATCAGAATCAACAGGCAAATCAATTTAGGGCAAAGGTAATTTTAATATTTTTACAACTTAAACTGAGTATGCAGATTTATTAAGCTTAAAAAAACTAGCACAGAACAGCTTTCCGAATCGAAATTAATACATTTTTAACATAGTTATGAGTAATTTAAACTTTGATTTTTCGATAAAATTGTCCTATAAAAATCTCAATAAATATTAAATTCAAGAATGAGCATATTTTAAGCTTAGTTAAGATCAATTTCCGATTTGTTCTTATAATTGAAATCTGCTGCTTCCCTAATTTTATTTTCTTTTCCTGACAATGTTCTTAATTATATTATTAAATAACTTTATATTTTTCTTTTTCTTTTTATTTATATTTATATTTATATTATTTATATTTTAGAAGGTATATTTAAGAGGTTGTGGTTATTATTGTATCATCATCAAGTACATCCCAAATTTCAGATCAATTTCAAGTTTTGTTCAGAACTTATACTTATTAAATTTGTATTGTGCATAAGTATATTATTATTATTATTATTTTTACTACATATATTCATTATTATATACTTCCATTATTAATTATTATTTTTCTGTTGTGTTTATCTGTATTCCTTATATTTATTTATATTTTTCTTTGTACTGTGACCTATTTTCCCTTTCACATCCTTAAGTTTCATTTAAAACTGACATATTTTTTGGTCAAATTCCTGTCACTGTGCCATGTCCAATTCATTATTCATCAGGATTTGTTGATGCTTTTTCCGCTTTCCCGCTTTTCCGCTTTCCCACTTTCCGGCTACTTTGTGGCACACATTTGACGCCAAAATTAAATATATGAAAAAGTCCTACCCCATGCCAGGAGACGGAATAAAATAAGAGATCCTGGATCCAAAGTGTAATGAAGTAATTAAATAATCTTGTTGGGGATTTAAAATACGTTTTTAAGGGATTTAATTTTTGTAATTTCTTTTAAATTAAATAAATATGAGTAAGCTATATATATTTGCTCTAGCTTTTTGTTTGTACTAGTTTTTTGAATATTTTCCTATACTTATTATATATCTTAAAATACAATTAGTTTTCAAGAGGTACTGCTGTGTTGCTGATGCTGTTGCGGATACAAATAGCTTCAGCTGCAGTTGATGTTGATGCTGATGCTGATGCTGATGCTGATGCTGATGTTCCTGTTGCAGTTGCTGTCTGGCAGGTTGAGCCTTCTGTTGCGTTGGCTTTTTGAGTGATGAGTGCACAAAATGTATGTGATATGTTGAGCGTCTAATTAGCAAAGCGGCGGACAAGCCGCCAACTTTGCACAGGAAGCCAAGGGGGTTTCAAGGGTTGGAGGTGGGTTCAGGGTTTGAGATTGGCTTTACTATTTGTAACATATTCCCGGCACATGGCACATTGAAGGCGCTTTCGGCCTGCATAAGCCCCATTTTGGACCATAAATTACCAGTGCCGACAAACAGTTGTAAATTTCCTTACTGACATCTCTCTGATAATGGATATAATGGCAATGTAAACACACACAAACACCACAAACAGTTGCCTTTTGCTTTAAAGTAGGAATTAATCACTATTCGAAATTCGACTCGCTTCATATTTAATTATCCTGCAGACCCTCGAGTCCTCTTTCGATTCGGGTTTCGGATTGTCTCTGCTCTCATTTAACGACAGTTTGTGCCAATAAATTGAGTTTAACTGAAGCAAGTCATTAAGCTGACAAATTACATATGAAATATGTTGATGAAAATTGAGTTTTCTATAGGAAATACTTTAGTCGGATTATTCTCCTAAGTAAGTTAAAAACTAAATGTTTTATGCTTAGATATAGAAGCCAAAAAGAGGTTTTTAAGTTAATGGATTTTAGAACATTATTTATTTATTTAGTTTACTTGTGACACCTGATTTCTTATAATTTGAATTACAATTAAGCTTCAAGCCAAGTTTGTTTCCCATCTCGGTTTCTGATTTCATTTTCTAAATTTGCGGCTTTGGCGGTTCTGTTTTGTAAATTCGGGGAATTTTTTCTCTTTAAGCAATACTCTTTAGACACAAAGAGAACGCTCCAAAGAATTCCAGTATTGGAAGGTAGGGTATTAAGTTAATGAGCCTATTGATTTGTACTTGCATTTTGGCACAATAAATTTATTTATTTTATTTATTACATTTAAAATATATATTTTATTAAGTTCTTGGGCACGCTGCCATGCTAAATTTAGGTATTTGTTTCTTTAAAATATTTATGTGCCCGTTTTGTTTTAAAATTTTTGCATTTGTCAAAATGATATTTTAATATGACAAATTTCTCGGAAAATCAAATTTAAAAAATGGCATAACTAGCATAAAATTTCTATGATTTATAGGGTCGGAAATGAATCCTTCCCTTTCTTTTAAGCTTCCGACTTAAGGTGAAATACAATTTTGTAATCGATATTAACTATATTTTTATATACAAATTTTTTTCGAAAAATCAAAATTTTAAAATCTCATAACTAACCAAAAATGCATTACTTTTAATTCGGAAAGCGGCAGTATGCAAATTTTTAGCAGGTTAATAAAACTGCATACTCCATTTAAAACGTGTATTTTTTGCCGATTTTTGCAAATTTTCATGATGTAACCCCTTTCCTTTTTTCCGAAAAATGGGAAATTTCTGAAAAAGGTTTTTTTTCGGCCGGATAAAGCTAGAAAGAAAGCCCTGTAGATGCCGATCAAGAATATATATGATTTATAGGGTCGGAAATGACTCCTTCACTTTCTTTTAAGCTTCTGACTGAAGGCCCATTACCATTTTTGAACCGAAATTAACAATATTTTTATATGAAATTTTTCGAAAAATCAAAATTGCTAGATTGATTTGGCTGTGGTTGCTGATCAAGGATATATGATATTTAATTTATGGGGTCGGAAATGTGTCCTTTACTGCGTAATAAGCTTCAGACTAAAATCAAAATACCCTGCAAGGGTATACAAATAGTATAAATATTTTGTTAATTATGTAGTATTTGTAACCATATTAAAATTATTTTAATAAGTGCCTTAGGGATTTAATTTCTAATATGGTAAATAAATACAGTCTATCTTTTGCAGGACATGCGCAGGTCGTGTTTGGTTTCAGTCACCGCTTCCAGTGCCTTCCAGCCGCCTCTCTTAGCTTTTTTGAGGAAATTCTCTCTTAGCCCGGCCTTAAGCTGCGGTAAGGACATGCTTACAT